CTCCTGCTCTACTTTAAAGGAAGCCCTGGACTGTGTGGGTACATGTCCAAGCAGTCAGGGATTGCTGGAATAAGGAGCTGGTCTGGAGTGGGCCAAGCCTGCAAGTCCTTTTGCCAATATTATGCAGGGAATAGAGTCACCCAAGTCACTGGGATTTTTCTACATGGAAGAACTGCAGGATTTGGTCTAAGCATCTGAGACAGCATTTTAAAGTACATATGTGGGCTGGGTGTTATATTTTTTGCAAAATCATGGCCCAAAATCAAGCAAAGATAAACAGGTCATGAATATATTTAGGCTGGGAACCAGAAGAACAGCCTTCCAGTTGGAGGAACTGCTAGTATTAAGATAAGGCACCAGAAATTGCTGTACACATTTTTCTAGCCTAAGCGGGGTGTGGATGAGGATCCAAGAGGCCTCACAGGGGACCAGGGTGGCCCCTGGAAGCCTGGGAGGATGATGAGTAAGTACAATGTGTACCCAGAGCTTCCCCTCCCCTCTCTCCTGAACAGGCTCTAATCCAAGGTCCTTGTCCCAAGACCCTATCACAGTTCACCCCCGTCAAATCCTCTCCTTAAATCAGCACACCCCAGGGGGCAGAAGTCTTTGGAGCTAAGCTTCACACTCACCACATCCATATAAAGACCAGCCACTGCAGTTCTGGGACTATGCATTCTCCTGAGCACGTCCTCCCCCTCCTGTTTAGTATATCTCAGAAAACACCTGGAGGTACCGTTCCCTACATGTGTTACGTGCATAAGAAATGATGAAACCCTTCCTAACTCCACTCATGTGTTGGACCACTCCTGCTCTCCACTGGCGCATCCCATCCCTCTCGGCTCTCCTCCTGCATCCCAAAGCCACGAGCTGGGTTTGAGTCAAGCTGTTGGCCCCACCAGTACATTACCTTGCAACCTGCAGTGGTTTTGATCTGCCTCCGGTCGGGTCCGGCTGGGAGTCTGGGTTTCTCTTGGCCACTGCTGGAGCGGAGTGGCCGTGTCCCCTGGATTCCTGGATTCCCACGTGCTCACCCGCGGCAGATGACACAATCCTCTGGTCTCCCCGCGGATTCCCAGTTACAGCAAAATAACATACTGAGCCCCAGGAGACAAACGTTGCCAGCAGACCTCTGCGCTGATAGCTGTGTGCCTTGGAAAATGACTCAGGCTCTTCTACGTGACACGAGGTATTTAAAAACCACGGAGCTGCTTGATTTAATCATATAGCTCTGCACTCAGGAGGGCCGCGTGCTCACGTCCTGAAGAATGTATGTGGCATTTACGTGAGGATTTGTGAATGAATGAATCAAACCCTCTCCCCTGAACCACGTGGTGCTGCACTGCACGCCGTTATTAATAGATCAGTAATTTTCATGGGAGTATCTTGTAAAATGTGTTTTCTGGAGAGGTCCCACTGGAGACCAGCACATCTAATAAGAGCAGGGTGTGCAGCACAACCCTGCCGGAGAAAGAAGAGCAGAAAGTGGTGATGCCCAAGGGATGCGGGAGGAACATGCACTTTGGCTCAAAAATTCCTGCAATAAACTTTGCTTGAGGTTAAGGAGCAAAGGAACTCCCCAGATCTCTCCCTTCCAAGAACCACCACCACATACTGGGCTTGCTAGACCTATCCACAGCTTCACAGCCTCCTTTCAAAATTGTAAAGCCTTGCCCTTGTGCTCTGGTCTGAACACCCAAGCTGTCCCTGTCCCCTCCGAGCTCCCGGCTGTGCCCTGCATTGCTGCACGCAAAGCTCCTCGGTGCGTGCTGCCTTTTTTCCCACACATGCAGGGTGCATCAGACCTTGGGAAGGACCTACATAAAATGCTCAGCCCACTTAAATCCCCAAAACAGGGCATAAGCAAGACTTCAGTAATGCCTGGAATGAGTTTTCCGATGGTGAACTGAAGAGTGAAGCTGTGTTTCCAAAGCCAGCGCTATAAATGGGCATTGCCTACTGATCAGACCCTGGGTAAAAGGATTTCACTACAGAGAAGGTGGTGCTCAGTCTCACAAAAAGGGCATGAGTTAAGCCATCTTCAAAATATCTGTTGCCGTCGAGGCAATACCACCACAGAAGATTGTAAGGGGGAAGAATCTGATGTGCATTTCTCTATTTTTGGTGCTTTTGGTTCCTGCATCGCAGCCAGCTCTGTCCCCAGCACAGTTCTCCTTTGCTTTCAGCTTGTTGGGCTTCCTACTTTCCTGCACAGCACCATCTCCATCTCACGGGCAAGAGCATGGTGGCAATTTTTTTTTTCTGAGACGGAGATTTATATTCACGGCCAGACTCGCACAAACTTATTTCTTACCAAATTTTACAAATCGAGTCTAGAGAAGAGCTGAAAATATCAGTTTCCTGAGGAGTTTAGTGGGTGGCTGATGGCACAGGGAGGACCGGGGGGGTCTGTAAGCTGAGGGCAGTGACCTGTGCTGTGAGAATGATTCAGCGTGCACAGATGCTTAAGGATCAGGAAGCAAAAGAGTTGTGATGGTCTGTTATCGGAATCGTTTTGCGTGACGGGCAATAAGGGAACCAGTCCTTGCTATTTTGGATGGACTAACAGCGAACAGAGATGCTTACGCTGTTGCTCTTTCAGATTTGTGTGCAATTTCAAATCCAGCCCCTGACCTGAGTGAACCCAAGCTGTGCTCTGAACCCATTCCTCTGGGAAATCAGTTCACCAGCCCAGATGTCCTACCTACATCACGTCACTGATGACATCAGAGTTATAATTTGTCTGAACAACACAAGCATGAGCTGCCAGTCTCCCAGAAGGACTGATCGCTTCATGGGACAGCTTCTCCTCTGCTTTCTTGCTCTGTGGGTTGAAACTCTGAGGGTAATTTAGTGGCTTTTTGGAGATCATTGTGTAAAGCAGTCCTTGTGCTGAACGGAAATATGGCAACAAATATGGTTTAACTCTCCAAAAATCATAGATTGCTGGGTCTGGTACACATACGCCCCTCAGAGTCATTAGCCAAACTCCAGTGAAGCTATTAAATGCTTGCCGTGCTCTCAGGGAAGGCAGGATCAGCCCATCAGGCCAAACGCCGCCCAGTGCGGTCCTGCAAACACGTTACCTTGAGCAGAACTGAACCTGCATGCGGAAAACCTCTGGGAAGCTCCGGGGTTTCTGGCAGGTCTCAGATTCTTTCCTTACAGCAGAATAGTTGAGGTCTGAGGCTGCCTGCACATCACCAGATCAATACGTGCATTTATCTGTCAAGAATGATTTGAACAAGAGACTGACAGGCATAATTAGAAGAATTAATGGACTTCAGCAATTATCTGTGTTTCTGCAATGTGGTGGCAGGGTAACAGGAAGCCCGGGGCTGGGTAGGAGCAGTTTCCAGGGCTGGATCAAAAGCAGCGTATAAAGTTTATTTCACTGCAGCAACTTGCTCGGAGGAGTGCTTTGCTCAGAGCTGACAGAACTATTTTTTGTTTTTAGAGTAATGGGATTGCCCCAACTATGAAACACGTATCCCTGCCAGCCCCTCAAATGCATCCTGTATGGAGATACGGGGCATCAGCTGAAAATGCTGTTGGAAAAAGGCAAGGAGCAACATAAAAGAAAATACAAGTCCAATAAATGAAAGTGAAATCTGCTGTGGTCTTGTGCAATGGGAGAGAAAAAAAAAATCTCTTTATAGAAAAAAAGGGAATTGAGTTCATTATTTTTGGCAAGACTTCTGCACATTTTGCTTATCAAGGGTTCGTCATAGGGAGGGGATTATTTTATAGTCGCATAGAAGTTCCCTCCCTCCTTCAGTTCTCCCAATCCCAGGCTGCCCCCCTGCAGTCTGAGGGGCCTCCTTACAGGTTTACATTTCCACTTCTTTTCCTTTTTTTTTTTGGATGGGGTATTTTTACAAGACAGATTTATCCCGTTCACCATGGGTGTTCAGTGCTGCTCTGGGTATTGCTGGCCCATGCGAGTCAGCCCGAGGACTGAAAGAGGAAGGCAGCCCACGCTGTACGATATCATGCTCAGTGTATAAGGCTGGGGGAAGAAAAAGGAAGGGGGGGACGTTGGGAGCGATGACATTTGTCTTCCCAAGTCACCGTTAGGCGAGATGGAGCCCTGCTGTCCTGGGGATGGCTGAGCACCCGCCTGCCCATGGGAAGCAGGGAATGAATTCCTTGCTTTGCTTTGCTTGTGTGGCTTTTGCTTTCTCTATTGACCTGTCTTCATCTCAACCCACGAGTTTTCTCACTTTTACTCTTCTGATTCTCTCCCCCATCCCACTGTGGGGGGAGTGAGCGAGCGGCTGCGTGGGGCTCAGTTGCCAGCTGGGGTTAAATCACAACACTTTTCCAGGTGTGCAGGACACCCTGGGGAGAGGCAGCACCAAGCCCTCCCTTTCCATGCTCTTCTCCCTGCCCTCTCCAGGGACATGTCCCACCTGCCCGCCCACGTGCTTGCTCCTCACTTCACTAGAACAGAAAACCGTGGGCTTTCTCCAGGTCAAACATGATCCACACATCTATGAAACCCAGGTAGGGATTTAATCAATGCATGTTTGTGCATGGGGCCCTGCGGTGTTCAGCTTGGTCACCACCCCTCGGCCAGCCACTGGGATATTGTACAGGGGGAGCAGGGGCTGGGTAGTCCGTTCTCCTTGCATGAAATCCCAGGGAAGAACATGGTCCTGATCCAGGGTGGGTGCTGCAAAGAGGTCATCTCCTCTTCCTGGCACCAGGCTGAGGGTCTGCTCCAGCGCAGGGCTGGGGGTCGCTGAATGCGCTGCTCCACCAGCAGTGACCCGGCTGCTCCAGGTACCCCCTGCATGGCTCTTCCTTGCCTTAGCCTCTCCTGGGGCACCGAGTGAGGATTTTCAGGGTGCTCTACTCATTAATGAGTCCTTATGAATTCCCCACCACCTGGCCCAGCACAGCAGGAGGAGTTGCTCTCCCAGCGTGGGTGGGATGCTGAGGTCTCCGAGCCCTCTTCTTTGGTCTGCAGCATCTGTGGCACTTCTCACGCTGCCCTGCTGTTAGCTCTCCTTGGAGGTATCGTCGTGGGAAGCGGAGCAGTTCTCCAGCTCCTTCGTGACCCCTGCTGAGCACTGCTCCACTTTGACTTTCTTTCTTCCCCTCATTGACTTCTTAGCTCCTGTAAACAGTGAGATGACCGCAGGAGTTAACTACAGAGCAAGGGATTTACATGTGTGAGGTCAGCGTGGCCTCATCCCAAAAAAGGGACAGCGCAGGAGGAAGCAAAGCTCAGCAAAGGAAAAACGAAGACAAATCCCTCTCAGACGTGAGACACACAGGTACCTGGGGGAGGCTATAACAGAAATAACACGTGACGCAGAGAACCCACCTCAGGAGCGTACCTGAGAGGGTACCCAGACCAGCGGGATGCATTGCTTGGATTTTCCCCCCTTCCAGTGTGGGACCTGGCACACGCCACACACTGAGAGAGGGGTTATGCCTCTCCATCACCCCATTCCTGCCCCAGCTGCATCCAGCCCTCACTCGGGACATCCCCATCCAGTCCCAGAGGGTGGGATGGTGTCTGCCCTGGGGCACACAGGGCAGCAGAGCAGCTGGTTTTGTAGAGCAAATCCTCTTCGCACTCAGCTGCGGTGGTGTCCCCCAAGCGAGCGGGCACCTCCGAAGGCCGGGCACAGAGCAAGGGGCAGCGCTTGCCTGTTGAACAAGCTCCCTTCATGCTTAAGCAACAGCCCTCTCTACATTTATAACGGGGTCGACATCTCCCCGTCTTTACCAATGGTACAAAGGGGGTTATAATGGTGGGGTATTTCTGACAGAGCAGTTTTTAAGACTTGACAGGCACACTGTCTTAGCCTTGCCCTTATCACGAGCAGCTTTCTACTTACTCACCTGTAGGAAACACCGGTACAACACATTCCTCTGTCAGCAGGGAAAACCTCTGCAGCCTCAAGGGAAGATCGACAGAGTTGGCAGAAACCTTTCTCTGAATGTCAATAACTCACCCCTGGGAATTTGGCCTTCTCCAGTCACTACCTCCCCGACCGGCTAAGCAAACACGAAGGATTTGGCCCTGTTAGCTTAGGTGCTCCGGAGTGCTCTCCTGGCCACCCTGCCCAGGCTCCCCTGGCTAACCATTAGCAGGGGCTCCTCCGGCTGGAGACACAACCGTTGCCAAAACACGGCACAGCGTGGCTTATCGCAGGGAAACGAAAGACTCTGCTGCATCACCCTGGGCAAACATTTGTTTGCAGCGTGGCATGCACTCGGCGGAGGAGCACCCTCTGCTGCAGGGAAGGCAGCCGGTGCCCTCAGGTGTTCCTCACCGGAGCCCCTCGGGAAGCAGCAGAAGTTGTAGCCCTGAGCTGATGCCATGAGGAACTCCTTCTCCCTACCTTTTGTCCAGGGATCCTGTCCTCTTTTTCTCTTCTTCTGCATCTCATGAGCTTTGCCTTTGGTGCAAAAATATTTCTCGTCAGCCTGGGCTTCTTGTAGGATATCATCTTCATATGGGGCAGCCGCCTACACCAACGAGAAGAGCAGTCAGTCTACAAACCACCCTGGCTTTCCCAGCGAGCTGGTGGCCCGGCTGCATTGCCGGGGACCTTTCTGACCATTGCTATGGGGTGGTGGTTGTTCATAAACCCTCCCAACTAGCTGGACAGAGTGATATCTCTATCCCTCAGCAGCAAGTTGGGTAACAGCGTGGGAATGGGGTTTGGCACCTCGTGTAGGAAGAGCCATCACCTTCTGGAGTGAGCTCGGGCAGGGACGACCTGTCTTATGACTCTTGGACCTGACAGCTTAAGCTAATGGGCTGAGGAGAGCAAACAAACCTCACTGTCCGTCGTGTCTGGCTCATCAGATTCCTGCTTCTCAGACTCAGCATCGTCGTCATCTAAGGAAATGTAAAAGGAAGGGTTTTTTGGCTGGCAGGGGGGCCAGCAAGCTCACGAGCAGATGCAGAGCCACCAGCCCAGGCTCTGAGAGCCATCGAGGCAGAAAACAGATTCAGCAATAAACTGTGTTGCAAAGCAGAAGCACTGCGAGCTGCGTGGCTTGAAGCGAATGTTTACAGGAGATCCAACAGGACTCTGTTGGGGAATCAGCTCCCAATAAAGCTGTATCCATAGGGCTTTGCTACCCCAAGGTCGCAAGTGCTGCCCCAAAGTCTGTGGCCACGTGCAGGTTGGGAAGCTGAGGGGTATTTAATACCCCAGACTGCACCTTCCCATTCGAGACCCAGATGGGGAAAGGCATGTCTGGGTAAAGAGGCCAAAATGGGCAATTATCAAATTTGCTGCCGGTGCCGGTCGGTGGCTCTCGGCAGGGAGTGTGTGCCAAGGAGCAGAGGAAGGCAAGGCGGGGGAGCTGCTTCCCTGCCCAGCAAAAGGATTTTGCTGCACACGGGCCCTGAGGCTACACAACCCCAGACACGTACCTGCACGCACCAGTCACGTATCCAACCTGTGCACAGGGCAAAGCTGCCCGGGCCAGGGACCGAGCCGTGCTGGCGGGGGGATCGCCCTGTCTGCACCCACCTC